TGACGGTGGGAACTTGTTGCAATTGTGTGGGTGCATGAATAAATCATGTTAATGAGGTCGACCAGAGTTTATTTTCAGTCTGTTTTTTATGTATCGCCATTTGGATATGTTTATGTATTCACAATAGTTTGTAAACATTTCACATCAGTAATAAAAGGTTTATTTGTTTCATAACACTGTCTGCTATTCTTCAGTAATTACGATGCGATGTATTAATACGTGCGTGAACAAAATTATGCTAATGAGGTCATCGCCATCTTGGATTACAAGTGGTAGTTTTTCCCGGCCGTTTCGACTTGCACTGATCACGGTTACTAAGAAAGTAACCGTGCAGTGATTACAATACCTTGAATACTTTGTAGCCAATTTCAGTGAGTAATACAACTTCATTCGCTGACATAAAGCAAGTTTTATTCTTGAAATTCGACCCTGTGTTTTAGTGTTCCCACAGTTCTCACGAGTGATCACGTTTATTGAAACCTCGCATAAATCAAGAAATAAGTACTTTTTAAAATCTTTTTTGGGGTGGTCCTCGGGTAAGCGCCCACCCCCAATTTTTCCCGATTTTGTATGTTCAGGCCCCTGGGTGCGTGCCCGGGGTAATACGGTAGTATCTCGAATAAACAGGAAACACGGCAGCTAAAATGCATTTAATACAGCCTATTCGCTCAAGTTATTGCCATGCAAAATTAGTGATATCTACACTACTAGTATCTATCATAGAGGGACTATGGGAGAATCTAAACCTACCAGGAACACGTCACCGTACCGCGATCGCTTCTACGATTTTTATCTTTAATGTCTTTAAAAAGTTTCCGTTCAGTCGTTCTTTCAAGTTTTTGTTGCCTAATTGTTTCCCGTTGAGCTATCAATATATCGCAATAATTCGTTACTATATATTAGGACGCGTAGCTCTTCGTCAAGCCGGAAATTGCGTGAAATTACGAAAGACGTTGTCTCCGTCATAATTGAAATGAGAGGTTACTCTAAGAAGACGATTGAAAGTGTGATTTCGGCTCCGATAGTTGGGCCCCAATACGTTTACACGATCGGAGCCATGTCGGGACTCAACCCTATCGGAGTTCAACCCCGAGGGTTTAGTGGAGCCGAACTTGGCTCGAGCCGAACGCGTTTACACGGCCATTTTTGCTGGCTCGAGCCATTGGGCTCCGATAAAATGCTGTCGTGTGAACGTAGCAAATGGTTGGTTATGAAATCGAACACGTAAGCAAAATTGTATTTCAATTATAGTTATAGATATAATTTATTGTAACATATGTGGTTTTCGTGCCTTTAAAAAAAATGCCAATATCGATAAGTGCTTCAGTCTAGATATCATTGTAAACCAGACAGCAGACCGGAGGAAATTACAACCTACGTTAATGACGTCAACGTCAATACCCATACTAATACTCTCACTTCAGACTTTATGGTTGCAAAGTTATGGCCAGAAACGTATTTTCCCCTGGAAACTCTATTGCGAATTATCTCATCCATATTTGTGACATTGATCTGGTATTAGCTACTTTTTCTTGTAGTTACATCGCAAAGCACACACACATATACTCGCACTTTCATGGTAGTTATATTGAGAGAAACCCTAAACACATGCTGTGGTATTTTTTTACCTTAAAAGTAACTCTTATGTGTTATATAACGTGTTATAACATATATGTCATGTTTTATTTTGTATATTGAACCTGTAAAACATTTACATCTTGCAAGGTAGCCTTGAAATTTGCCGCGAACACAAAGGCTTGTTTTGTCAGTTGCACAGTTGTATAAAGTTTGAAGGCACTAGCTAATTTTCTCCTATAGCAATAATGTATTGCACAAACTATGACCATGATATTTGACCTCGTGAAGTTAATAACGATGGCCTTTATTTGCTCTAGATACCAGTATAAATAATTGATTGGACGATTGTTTCAAATTGGGACGAGAAATAATTCTGCCATTTTTACAAAATTCCACCCACTTGTTAAAAACTTGCGGTAGCTGTTAATACACGGAATAAAGCAAGTAAATAAGAACGAATACACAGAAAAATAATACTATGTTAAATAAAAGTTGACATGTACTACGTGCGTGACTCGAGCATGTGCGCGCGTGCGGCAATAAATCGCTTAGATACGCATCACGACGTGTCGTCTTGCTTTACTTCCTCTGTTAGCAGCCACTATGAGTTTATACTTATATCACTGTACTATTTTCTGTTACTAATGCATCACCGTCACTTTCACAAGTTTTACCATCTGTACAGCAGATGTGAGAGCATACGCCCTAATGTATGGCTGCTCTGTGTGACGTGGATGACCGTGGATGGTTACTATCACTGAGGTGGTGTTTTTACGCATTCTTGATGAATGATTTAATACAAGTACCAATATGTACATGTACATGCCTTTTGTTAGTATAATGTACACATGTATGTACACATCAAAAACGACATTACAGGAATTGTGGATTTTTACTATAGCGCAGCACATCAGATTATTGAGTACAAAATACAATATTGAAAAGCAATGTTACCATCTTGTAAGCACTCATTGGCACTATCAAGAAAATGTCATTCTGTACAACTCATATATTTGTTCCAAATCATAGGAACAATAATACGTTTTTGTCACCAAAAAAAAACATGGATGACAATCCAGCATATATAACCCGACCAACCCATAACATGAGGTAACCGTAAAAAAAAAACGATACAATCCGTGAACAATCTGAGAGGCGGACTGACTTTGAATGAAGGACTATTTATCTCTCAACCTATAGTGTTGATGTTTTGATGGTGCAATATATACACGTCCCAGATGAAAATACATACTATTTTTTATTATTTTTGTGTTTGTACTTGTAATCAAGTAATCAATATCAAGTGGTATACCCAACTTCGGCGGGGGTTATTGCTATTATATTATACCAGTATATTGATGGTGTTAATCTATTGATTTGATTGGTCCAAACACAATACCATCACTGCGATTAAGCTTGTTGATGCAAATATACAATGAAATAATAATATACTACAAAATATGTGTGGCTATATAGTAAATAACGTTAGGTACAAATAAACCTGCAATTATATATGTATTTACGGCTAAAATATGTGCCATACCCACTTAACGTTCACAGGACATAATCCATAAAACTTAATAGCCAACGTCGTGCTGTGTCTAACATATAGGGCGCGGGTAATGTCTGAGAAAGGGTTCAATCAGATGTGACCACGATCCTGTGAGCTGGAGGATTAATGACCTGTTTAATTAATTATTCTAAGTTTACAAGTTTTGTTACAATATGTGCAAGATCGATACAACCAGAAAATTTCATGCAATGTTTAAATGGAAATTGACAAAATTATAATCTTAGAAACAACTGCATTTTTGATAAATTAAAAATAAGTAATTTAATATTGTTCTAAAATAGAAAATCCAACTAAAAGTAATAATTTGGCAGATTACTCGACAATACAGTAAAACTAGATGGATACGTTTTTATCCCTTTTGCGGAATCAGCGTAATGTAATCCCTATAAAATAATAGTGACAATATGATATCAAGTAATATGATTTCTGACCTAAAATAATTACCTTATGTTTGTTTGTTTTTTAGGTTTCGTCGCTGCAACTGAATATGTTCGAAGACGTCATACATGGGGTGTCGCTTCCGTCAACTGAAACAAATCTCGTTGACTTGTTTCCATGGAAACAACGCATGATATAAGAATTGACGAGCAGTGAGTTCGTGTGTGTATTTGTAATCTAGTGGCTGGCGGACTGCAATGGCGTTACTTTGTCCTCTTTGATTCTGCAAGGTGTTGTTTGTGTTCAACGGTTGAGAGGTTGATCGCATTCGATGTAATACATCGTAGGCGTTCTAGTTCTATTATTTGATGTTATTGGTCAGGTAAATTAAATTCGAATCGTCGGTTGAATCAATTTTTGAGGACGGTGTGCGCAACCTAATCGCTTCGTACGACTGTGTAGACACTCACACAACTGGAAATCATATTTTCCATTTGGGATTGTCATTATCATGGCTGGAATTTACGAGAAAATCTACGATCCGAAAACACTGGGACCAAGTCCAGGAATATCAGAATACAACTCAAGCACAATTGAAGATATTGGAACGTGCCTGTGCAGCCTTGACTCCTGCGATTATACCAATATTTATGACATGCTTGGGGACGTGCCGTACGATGTCGCTTACAACATTTTGGACAGTATCATTCGCGAATTCAATTTCACCTGCCCGGTTATATATCAGATACCATCGGCAATCGAGACACCAACAAAATACGGTCTTACCATACTCTTTTTTCTGACCGTTGCTCTCTCGATAGTGGGAAATGTTGTTGTTATATGTGTTCTAACTTTCGGAGCAAGAAAAAAACGAGACTTCAATATTTTTCTATTAAATCTGGCCGTCGCTGATTGGACCCTGGCCATATTCTCGATGCCATTCTCATTTATCAACGCAATGCAAGGCGAGTGGATCTTCGGAGGATGTGTTATGTGCTCGGTGACTGCTTTTATAAAGAAGGTAAGACTTTACGTGTGTGTTTTATGTGAACAGTGATTGAATCTAAGAATTGTATTCATGTTTTTCCCTTAAAATCAAGTTGTAAGATGTGACACTAGTATATTATAGTAGTTGTGTTAAATATGTATTATAAATATAAAATATATTATATTCTAAATCTATTTTGATTCCTAACAAAATAATATTCGTTCAACGGAAGAGTGAACAAATAAAATTAATAAATTGCACATACCGTTAATACATACGTGTTTTTGCGCAATGGAAAAACAGTATTTCTAGTTACAACTATCCCATATATTAGTGCAACAATTAATAATGAACACAATTGCATAAAAAGACGGCTCTGTGCAAAATGAATGGCGTATAAGAAGTGTAAAATAAATGAGAAATATTTCAATCTACATACGCCTGAAAACTTCGTTAGTATTGTCAAATATGAGATGATATCGAAATCATGCTCATGTAACAATTTTATGTAGAAATTTATCAAATTTGTTTTCTTGAATTCAAATTGTGCGCTACTAAACACGTTACTGCCCTTATATGCAATATTATGTATACAGTGTAAAACAATATACACTCTGGAAACTCTCTAAAATTAAATATGCATTGTTGACATATTTTTTTTTTTACAAAATAATGATTCATATCACTATTAATAATAATATTTTGTCATATGACAATTCCGAAGTTTGGAAGATTAATGGCAAAAGAAAAGACAGTGTCGATATGCACTATTTGATTATTTGTATTTCGGTTTACACATTCTTAACGTTTTAAGTCAAAGTAAACAAACAAACAATACAAAACAGTTCAACAATGATGATGGACAATTCAACCTTCACAATCATTTGACTTACATATTTTATCTTGTAACAAACTATAATTACTCACTTAGGAAGTCATAAAAGTCTTAAATACGTGAATTCGCATCGGTGCATCGGACACTCTTGAGAAATTAAAATTTAAATCTAGATAGATACTGAACGCAGTTTGTCACTCGCATAATTAATTGATGCACGTCTAATTATAGTGGAATGGTGCATAGATGTCATCAAATAAGTCAACCTTTCATATTTTATTATGTATTATTTTAATGTATTTTATCAAAATGACCGCCTGAATCTCATTGAGATCGAGAAAGTCGCGAGACTATTGGAGATATAAATAGAGTCGTCTACCGTCACCGCGTGCACTGATCAGGGCATGGAGGTAATAAGAATTACCTCCATGATCAGGGTAACCACGTTATTTGACTAGACCTGTTTTCAAATATCTTAATAACTCTAGCAAAAAAAAGTGTACTTGATTGTTCGTTGCATATAACGTACCATTCACTGCTAATTTTTGTTCATAAACAAGAAATGGACAATTTGCTATGATATATTAGTTTCACTAATAATACAAGATAAATATGTTACTGTCGACTTACAAACTTAATATCATGTTTACCCCCATGTGATAATCTCGCATATTCTAAATGCAAAAACTATAGCGATGATTTTGTAGTTTGTGAACGCGTATTCAGAAACCGTGAATTTTAAAATTACGTCTCAAATACTTTAAGATATTTTTGCTTTGTTTTAGTCTACATCTGAAAGTATCGTAATCATTCTAATTTATAACATTCTTAATAATAATAATTCAACCACAAAAGTCATAAGATATTGGCGTATTTTGCAATACCAATATTAATTATATGTAAAAATTGCAGTCTACTTGCACGAACCAATCAGATTGCCAGGATTGTTATTACATACTATATTATAGCATTCTCAATATCAGTGGGTTATTCGCAATAATGTATCCCATTATTGACCATCAAGGCCCCGTGCCATGGATATGATTACAATGTTGCTTTCGAAAACTAATGAAGAAAAAACTATATAAAAAAAGTTAATTGTTAGATAACAAGTATTTAATACTAAAATTGGCATCAAATAAAATGGTTCATCGCCAATAAAGCGGATTTCAATATCGAAATTAAACAATTTTATGAGGGCAACGTACGCTAAAGCGCGCTCGGTCGAAGCGTTCCATCTACTACGCGCGCTTCTAGATTCCGCGACTGACGCCGCTGTCCAGGTGACCGTCCGACTAGATCGCCCTATTATGTCGATGAACTAAGGTTAACTGGGGGTGATTTATCCAAGAAAGTGCGTAAAACGAAGTAGAGATATGTTCACAGAGTGCGAGTACAGAGAGACAAATTTGTTCTGTTTTTGTAGTGAGTAGTATTACACTATTTGCGAAACGAGATCAACAAAAAACCGACGTGACTTGTATTTTCTCAGCGTCGACTTACTGGTAAATGTCACAGTCAGGAGCACAGTTTATATAAACAAATGAAACGATCCAGGCGGTACACAGCGGCTATCTAGCGTAGCGTAGTGCAAGGCCGCGGCGGACACCGAGTGGCGTACCAGTCACGGTATGCCGTTCTGTCGGGTGATCACACTGACTACAATGCTACTTACTTCACACACAAAAATACCGTCCTGAAGTACGTACACTGTGTTCTCTGTCGCTTTCACACGTGTTGACGCTACTTCGCACGCTCGTCATCGTTCTCGTTGTCAGTTTTGTGATATTCGTGTTCAAGCAATTGTACATATAATAAAAATGTCATCCGTGGCTAATGCCACTGATTGCATGAGGCATTGCTGAAGGCAGTAATGATCTCGAACTATGTGCACTGCACATACAAATTACTAGTAGCGAGTTTCGCTGCCGAATAATTCACGTCTTTCCTTAGATATACATTCTCTAACGACAAACATATACATATATATGTAAGAGGTTCTGTATTCGCCAATAAGTTCGGATTTCGGCAATCTAGCCAGCCAGTAATGAAGCCTTATTCAAGTGCTCCACGACAACATTTTCGCCACCCGACGGCGTCAGCTCAATTTATTTTTCTAACCTCGTATAATACATTACGTACGGCATCATGCGATTGAATTGCGTCTTATGCGTGACTGCCGATATACAAATGTCACCAAATAACATAACGTTTGATAAAACTGCTTCACATACGTGCATGTATATTGAGTGTTGAAACAATTTGAGTGATCAGGAATGCGTAAGTCTAATAAGATAGTAGAGAATAATTTAGCCTTGTTGTCAACAGATACAAACGATATCCAGCAGGCTACGATTCGTCCTTGGGTCTAAATGATGCTTTCGACACACATCATGTACCGTGGTTCGTTCAAGTGCTGCGTTGCCTTTCTCTCACCCCCGCCCAACTATAAACACACACTTCGTTAGCGATTTATCAATCAGCAACTCTGAGCCACCTTTTTGTTATTGGCTCTGTGGATAAAAAGAATGCGCTGACTAATAATGTTATTAAAATGCGATTAGAGTTCGAATCCATTTAACTTTCCCAATTATTATAGACATGTGCGTCAAATGAAGATATTCATCCCTAGCAATGGGGAGATAAGACTATACTTCACAATCCACCTTTCATAGTGTGTTTCGCATATAACTACTATAACTTTATATGATATTGATAAAGTGTCAAATCATTCAAAATAACATTCCACTGTGCGCACAATGGATATCGTATAGGTTCATTTCACTTTATTAATAAAATAAAGATTTATAACTACATTTTTACATGCTTGAGCGGTTAACAGTAAATTATTTCCACAGAAATAGAAGATATGAACAAATTAATTTCTTGTCAATAACCCCCGTCCTGTTTAAGTACAAAGTTTCTGAAATGTTCAGCCAATGTAAATTATCATTTAAGAGATAACATGTGGTATTTATGATATTTGATATTATTAATAAATGAAATCAATAAAGTATACATTTTCTGGATGAACACTGTATCGATTTACCTGTTGAAAAAGTTAAATCCCAATACGGCGGCAATTTTGTTCTCAAAGCATACATATATAACATTTGTATACATAATACATAAACGGTACCTGGATGGTTCATGAGAAATTAAAAGCAATATGGCTACTGCGATTTCAAAATCCGAATAAGGTGAAATAAAACGTGCATGACATATAATTACACAAACAATTTTAACAGTTTCGTCACAATGAATATGACAATAATCTAACCACGGTAATTGAACACAAATTGGACTGAATTCAGAAAATCACAGGTCATAACCATATTCTTAAAATGGTGGCCAAAGAGTTAATTTAAAGCAAATTTGAGAATTGGTGTCAAGCGTTGGGAATATGCTTATGTGCGCTTTGTCTAAGGGATGATATCTAGGCTAGGATTCAATTACCACAAAGTTTACTAACGATAGTAATAAAAAAAAACAATGGAAAACGTCAATTTTACCCTTCTATTTGAGGCTGTCACTTTTCTTTTCAATGCCATATAACTTATCTTCCATTGATCAACGATTAATTTATTTTTGTCTGAAATATTAAAACTACACTGTGTATACGTCTACTTGTTGAGTGTAACATGTTGAAGTGAAACTTTCAAAGTTTATCACCCTAATAATTTAGATAAAATAACAGTAGCCAAACCACACTGCTTCTAAGATTGTCATATCATATACACGTATTGTGTTATTTTAGCGTATTGTTTTGATTACACTAAATCTGGTTTTCATTAAAAACACGTTGTACTTACTATGCATTTAATAATCTGTCGTGAAAAAACTAGTGACCTATCTGTGTAGTTAGGAAATGAACAGAATTACTGCACCTCCATTGCCTATCGAAGACTGAAACATAATATCAGAATTGCAGACATTCAGGGAATAATTAATTGCAATTTATCAAAGAAAAAATCCCCCATCCTAAAAAATAAAACTTAGCAGGTTTCAAGATGGCGATGGTGTGTTGGATGTTGTCAGTGACGTACTTCTACAATATTATTTCCTCGTCTCGGTTATTATATATGTGGGCCGTTTCTAAAATTACTTAATACCAATTTCCTTGTAGTTTACCGTATATACAAATACTGACTAGTTGATTGTTCTAAAATTACTCAATACCAATTTCCTTGTAGTTTACTTTATATACACATAATGACTAGTTGATTGTTCTAAAATTACTCAATACCAATTTCCATGTAGTTTACTTTATATACAAATACTGACTAGTTGATTGTTAATAAATAAAATATTTCTTCCGGGTTTGAAAGTAAGAAAATAAACAATTATTAACTAAAACTGGGGGAGGGGGTAAATGAAAATTTGTTCCACCCGGTGTGAAAATTTGTTCCACCGAGGCCGAGGTAATTAATTGTCACATCAATTTGTTTATTTTTATAATTGTTTTGTCATCTTGAATTCGCGTATTTACTTGTCAAGATCGTGAAATTCCGTAGTCTCAGCGACAAAAGCTGTAGTGTTTATTGACAAGAATGTTTTCGGATGTCCTATAGTTTTTTTACGGCTCTGCCGGACCGATTACGTGTTTGTCTACTTATTCATTTTGTGCGCTTCATTTTGTTGTGTTATCAGTCACGAGAATGGACTCGATCTTGTCAGCTGCTCGAAATTTCGTTTCGTTTCTAATTTTTAGTTTGAGAGATGACAATACAGTTTATTGGGGGATATATTTGAAATATATGAATGTTATTACTTTTAGGTCTCTGAAGCTGTGAGTATCTTCACATTGACTGCCATTGGTATAGATCGATATTACGCTGTTATGTACCCGCTGAGAAACAGGATGTCGTCTTCGAGACCGAGAATAGTTATCGGAGGAATTTGGGCGATATCAACCTGCTTATCGGTGGTCAAACCAATTGTAAGCTATACAAAAACATACCCGCTAGACATGTATAGTAACAACACTGTTACCATCTGCAAGGAGTGGTGGCCCAACGATACGCTCCAAATAGTATATGAGTTGACTCTATTCGTTGCTACGTACGTCGCACCACTGACTGTCCTCTCATTTACATACACTAAAGTGGCTATGAAACTGTGGACGAGGAGCATTCCGGGCAATGCCGACCAAGGCCGAGACGCCAGTCACAACAGATCAAAGAAAAAGGTATGTAACAACAAATATTGAGGTTACGTTACGTTACGTTCCGTTACATTTACGATGAGTAATGTCGTTATTTACTTAAGTTTGTACTCACAGAACGCTGCAGGCTCTGCGCTGTTATTGCTGCTATTATTTTTTTAATATTTTCCAACAAAATAATTTATAAACTCCAATACCCGACGACCATTGTATGTCGACATCACTTTTTAGTAAGGCTATGAAAAGCAGGATGTAAGTGACAATGCCATCACCATACCGCCAATAATTGAGCATAAACGCACGAAATGAAATAGTTCATGTCTAAATTGGAACACATACTACCTTACTTCTGAAATCACTACGCAATCGACTTGTAACCGTCGGCAGCAGCAGACATATATTCTAGAGTGTCGTTCAGTAGTCTAGTGCATGCTGGTCATGAGCTTATGATAACTCAGGCGGTACATACACTACGTTTGTTTTATAATGTGATATACAGTGTACTCGTTTTATATTAGTGTTTTAATGGTTTGAAATGGTTTGCCTGTATGTGATTCAATATCTCGTTCTCGTTGACATCATAACACATTTCGTGGGGGTACACTATTATAGCAACTACCTACATAGACCCATACACATGGCAACTCTGACATCTTCCATAATATATAACCTGATAAGTTCATATCTTATATCCCGAGTCATGAATAATTCATGACGATAAACTCTTGGGATATATTTAAGTCGTAAACTGCGATTTCCCGGCTTCGAACTGCTTCAATGCGAAGTAACTCGATACCACAATGACACCTGTCCATCGGGAATAATCACTATGCATTTTCTTTCATTTGTTTATTCATGCATCCTCGTAATCTGTTTGTACAAGGATGATGATTTTTTTCCGCATTACGTTTTTCCCATCGGTGTGTTAAATAACACCGTGTTCTCGAAAAGAAATGTCAAACTACGGTTCGCCCACAACTCTTATACATAATAACCCCCATCATGTAATATTCATACACTTCTAGCTCGCTTCTGATGTAATATGAGCCGATATTGATGTACATCGTATACTAAATCCCTTAGGGCAGTTTTGTGAAAAAAACAAAGTTTGTAACTAAATTATTTCCTACTAACCCTTTGACTTACAGGATCAGCCAACATAAATTTATTCTAAAAAAAAAAATGTTTCGCTAAAAAAAATCTTTTTGTTGTTGCCTACAGACTATCAAGATGCTGGTATCGATCGTAGTTCTGTTTGCCCTCTGCTGGATGCCATTGAATCTATTCTATCTAATAACTCTCTTCAACGACAACACAGTCCATGAGTACAGTCAACAGAAGGCAACCACCACGGCATACTTGTGCGTTTTAATCTGGATAGCAGTGACAGACAGCTTCATCAATCCAATCATATACGTGTTTCTAAACGATGGCTTCAGGGTGGGTTATAATTTAACTATTAATAGTTTGGTTTCTTAGTTAATAATTTCAGTGCATTCGACATGCAACGGTTACGGTGTTCGCAAGATATCTGCAAACAGCCGAAAACTACAGAGGTTTAGTCTTTCATATTATACATCACCGTTCTCAGGTGAAAAAAAGTTTAGGTTCAAAATCGAATAAACTGCGGGTACGCATCCAAAAATAAATTTAGTTCTGTATACCCACGAAATGTGCTCACTAAAAGCATTTGGACGTGAATTTAGGTGCGTATAGTGGTGCTATGTGGATTTCAATAAATGTAAAATTTGATAGACAGGTGCCAAATCCGCCATTTGCTTCTTAGATGGTATCCTCGTACATTTGATTGACAGTTGGATGTTATGTAGACGACAGCTCGTGTGCGAAATCGAATGCTTGAATAACGGGTCGTTCAGGTGTTTACTACTTCGTGCTAAGCATTTACATCGTTAACGTGAATATAAATAATACATACAATTTAAATATGACCAAAATAAGCCGACTGTGAACAAAGAAATTGACACCTGAGTATTGTTGCCAATATGAGATCATCGTGTGAATACCGCAAAGCCTGCATGTTGGCAGCACGACGACCGTATCGACAGCGCGTAGCGGAGGTCTCAGCGGGCGATTCTGTACAACCCGAGTGTATATTTGTTAGTATTTTCGCGGTAACCTTAGCTGCAAACACATTGCTGGATGCGTCAATTAAAGATTGGCAGAAAATGTCATTACATGAATGGATACTCAGAAAATCGTCAGATTTGGGGGAGATTATTTTTTTTTTCTCTGATTGGTGATTAATGTTGATGATATAGTTTATCCCATAAATAAGGTACCCCGAGCGTTGGAACGAATACAGAATAATCCGTATTAGAAAAGGCAAATTCTATTGTCTACAGTGACAGATGTTTAATAATAAATCTTGGTTAATTTTTTTAGGGTGATATGAAACGATTTTTTCGACGAGTCTGCAAATTTAGCCTTGGTACTGACAGAAAATGTGACCCTAGGACAGGCATGCAAAGTATGTCATCGCGGTCAACGTTCAGTAGATCGACTCGGCAGAGAACTAACCAGGAATTATGCTCTCTGAAGACCCTCTCACCATCGTTAAATACCCTTCACAGTCTGAAGGTCAACGAAAACGGATTTTGTAACGGTATATATGATTACAGATCTGCATCGGCATCAAGAAGCACCTCCTGTACTTCTGAAACGCTAAAAATGTAAGTTATAAATCCAATCATCATGTTTATTGTGGATTCGCTAGAATTGTAATAATTTTAATTATTATACATTTGCCACCGTAACGCCATAAGTTACAGCGTGCCATATTTTGCGGTATTTTCATCATACCATATTAGGAAATGCGAATTCCAAATATTGAACGTTTACGCTGGTAACCGAGAATTCAAGAGTATTTAGTACTATTTATTTGTTCTCAAGGCTGACTATAACATACAAATCATATTTAACTGTGTGTTTGAATATATTCCAAAGTTCGCTGAAATTTGTCCCATCATCTGATGGACCGAAGTAAAATTTATTTGATGGAAACATTGGTGTTTACAAAGACAGATTAAAGTGGGACTGTCGTCACCTGCGCACGTGCGGGAATTGAGTCCCAAGCGGTGATAACAACACACGGTAAAAACGCAAAGGCTCATGGGTAGACGTTTGTTTGAAAAGCAATTACAAGCGCATGCGCAGATGACGGCTCCCCCGCTTTAAGCATATCAGAGAATTGTGTTAAATTCTGATGATTCTGAGGACATTTATCAGCCATCAGATATTTCTGTTTACGCAATAAGAGTATGTTAGATTAATTTGACGCACGAAAGTATGTTCATTTTCGTCATTGTGTTTTGCGGTTTGTACGATAACTGAAAAGATTGACCTGACAATGTGAAATTTAAATATGCAGCGTGGGTAAGAACATGTAATTAGTAATGTTTGTGTCAGTGTTACAAACGCTGTTCTTGCAGCGCACAACTAAGTTTTCACCGAAGGAGCACTAGCATTTTAATGCACACGTAATGATTCTCAGTACATATACTAACAATCACATTACAATCGAACGAATACTGTATAGTGTACTTCAAAAAACAAAGTTAGTTCCCCATGTCAAATTACAATGCACGTATCTTATGAAATGGGCTCTAGTAAACAACATGTGGTTACATCATTTTCACTTACGTTTGGATATTATATTACAGATTGCATATAACGTTAAATGCGAAAGACAAAAATAGCTCCAAGGCATGAAGTCTGTGGATAGTTCTATCACTGCAATGATAATCTATGAGAAGTCTAGAAACAAGAAGAAAGACGTATACCTTACAATTAAAAGACAACACAGCATATTGACAGTAATCCCGTAAATCCACGTTGAAATTAATAACATGAAAGTATGGTTTAGGGTTAGAAATTTCCCGTGTTCTGTTGTATGTGTACTCCCGTCTGATGTATACATATATTATTATTGTCATTTGTATGTAGTAGAAAAGTTGATATTTTTATAATCAAATACTATTTTCAGATACGATTGTATAGTATATACATTTGTAGAATGTTGCTGCTTTTAGTATTTTAAGTACATATTTCCGCGATAATAGTAATATTTTTGTAAGCGTATTGTTTAATAGTAAATCAGTCAAATTCAGAGCAAATTGGGATATATTCTAGTATTCTATTTCTTTTTTAAAATAGTAATATGAAAATCTGACTTTAAATGTTTAAAATCGTGATCGCCACATTTCTTACAAATGTGGACACTACACCGTCTTTCATTCAGAAAGAGCTCAGATTTGATTGAATCTAACCAGAGCTATGCGTTTATTTTACCACAATCAATCGTACTTCGTAGAATGATTAATCAATGTTCCCAGTGTTTATATGGTGTATATAAACGTCTTTTCACTATTTTAGAATTAACTATTTTAAAAAATAAAATTATATATATCGAATTCTGTGAAACTATCAGAAGCTTAGCTTCATTTCTCTGAAAGTACAATGTTATAATCCACTGTCCCCGTCTCAATGTCAGTCACGCCTTGACAACAATTAAAACTTCTACTAATTCCGGTTAGTGTCCCCAATTCATGAAGTGCCTCTCAATAGTCAAAATAATAAAATGTGCCTCATCCCTGAATATTTCCAATTACTATCACTCTTGGTTTGGTATGTGTATTATATGTATACCGTTTCGGTTATTTTATTCAAGCTGAGAATATAATACAGCAAATATGCAGTTGATAATTTATCATAAATGATGTTAATACAGTACGGTGTAATTCTCAAAGGTTGAGTGGATGTATTCATTTAATTATTCATGTATAATATTTTGACTGTTTATTCTCTTTTAGTATATTTATATACACGTAGATCACATGATTTTCATATTCACGCTAACGTATAATATTACTATGAAAACGCCATGTGTTGCCTCTGAAATTTTGTGTTTTCACTAATGTTTCAGAAAGTATGAACCCGATTGACTGATACATATATATCAAAGTACATAAAGTGTAGACAAAAATCATTATCGTAATGCTAATTTGTGCAGATTACTTGGATTGCCTTCACATTTATATTTTGTTAATAGATAAACGTTTTTTTTTTTGGCAATAATTTTTGAAATAACATTCTCAGTCGCGTCTATGTACCACCCACTCACGTGCTGGAAATTCGATATGCAGATTTCATATAACTGAATACGTCACATAAGATGAATTATTTCTCATCGGATAATGTTATTTTTTTCTTTTAAATTTCGTTATTTGTGGACGTGTAGTTGAATCTCATATTTAAACTTTTTAATATGAGGCATAATCTTTAGAATAAATAGAGTTGTATGAATTGCATTCACAAATCTTGAGTCAGGGTGATCTGTAAAATAGATTAATTAGTGTATTTGTATTTGTTCACTACCTAGTAACCTAGTAACTTTTCCTAGTTAAAATATGATGGTCAGTGTAGGCTATTTTAGATGATGATAATCAAGACATGTTATATAATCAAACAGCTGAATATCGCAGATTTTCAAAAGTGTGCTTTCGTTTTGTGAAATAAATTTGATTGGTGGCTAACAACCAGCATTTTTGATCAAAATCATTGAAAGTAAATTAACCTGTAAACTTGTTATCCGATTTGCTGCAACTAGTGTCATTCGACACATTATTTTACGACGATAAAAAGAAGTTTGGATGACTTTATACTCGCTGTTCAACTTGAATTACTTGTTGAGTGAACATAGACAAACGAAGATATTCTCTTCCAGTCTCTTTTCAGTAATTTTTATTACAATTGCAATATACCATTTTCAAAAGACTAACAGCAATTGAAATAAAGTTTTCAAAGTCTAGTCAAAAGTTATGTACCTGTATAGGGATATTCTTCATAAAGAGAGAAATATGTTTGCCACCCATAATAATTAAGGCAATTACATGAAGTTATATAAATAAAGTCTTTAATCAAAGAAAATTAGAGAGTTCACGTTTTCACGTCTAATATGTTGATGTAAACAAAGTAAGTGGGGTTTGATAAAAAAAAGTACATGTTATGATCTTTGACGTCAACTATTGACACCATAAAATCTCACAAGCACAATATTTCAATTGAAATATTTGGAAGGATTATAAACGCTGTTATGAACAAATGAGGGTGTCAGACTAGATTATATTTCCAATGATTTAAATATCTTTATTTTTTCTCTACTTATTATAACAATGAAGATAATGGGTGTTCAACCAGTGATTACAAAAACTTATTTCAGAATTATTACGTTAATGTTGTTCACAAGCTTCTTCCAATATGTTGATCAATGTATAACTACTGTTAAATGTGCATTTGCCGAGAATTCCTTAATCTCTGACATTCGTTTTTGCTTGTCTTACTTTTCACTCATTTAAGTTTTATGTATACATTCTTTACGTTAAAATAAATAGCCTGTTGAATTCATTTTTCTATTTGCATTTCAAACGTGTCATCTAATGACGACAAGAATTTGGACATTATGTAGGCCAAGCTGTTTTCTTCAATTCATGTCATCTATATGACTTATACGATTATTTATACAATATATGATCGCATGAAAGTGATTGTCTAGGGTTCTCATTGTCAGTTTAATGTTGTATGACAAGTGACGTATTACATCCTGGTATACTCGTTATCCCATAAAAATGCATATTATTAATGACTATACGTAGTCTCATGAGTATATTATTATATCATCATATGGGATTACCCTTAAATATATACACTGTTTTATTACCCTTTATATATTATATGAAAGGGTAGTGCACCTCATTTAGAAGGCAACTTGTATGAGAGAATGATGTAATGTTGTTTAATACTGCATGTTGATGGGCACATATTATTGTGATTTTTCTGTAACGTTGTCTTTGTCAGCACATAAATAAACAGTTCTCGTTTGAGGAAACAATTGAAAACTTTACTTGCGTACAGATTATTGTGTACGTATCAATAGGTGCACATGCGAATAAATAGGGAAAATATACACATTTGACAGACACATATTCATGAGTGCGTTGTTTTGGGCTTCAACATCAAGAAACAGAGTGTACATTCATTAGTATTCTCATCTGAGTGAAGTTGTAATTGATCGATACGTACTTCTTACTCTAAAGACGACAAGGGAAATCTTTATAATTAAATGTTTATTAGGAAATCACAATCTGTCAAATACTGCACCTGTCGTCATGACAACATATATTAATATTCCGAAAGCGTGGATTTTTTAGAATACACATATCTGTAACACTGCTCACTTTAGCAGATTCGTTGACAGAAATCTATTTGACAGTGATGAAATAATACTAATAATAATACTGCCAGTAATTTGTAACAGAGCGCACATGAGTTTCGCAATTGTTTAGAAGAATCTCCTTTGCATATTCTTTCGTGTTTCGACGACTGTAGCGTTTTAAATAAACATCGTATAAACAGTATATATTGTAAAAAAACAATGTCCACTAAAATGAGTTTTTAACTCCATTCATAATATAAAATTGGCATGGATGAAATGATGATATAATGGCATAACTCAATTGGCTAAGCTCGCCTTAGGCTCATTAATGATTACATTGCAATACATAAGACAAATCGGGCAACAAATGATTAAAAACCGTATTGCAATCAACGTTTTATAATATAAGGGTAATGTAAGTGATACGTGAATAAAATACAACTCCCGTCAATTAAACTGATAT